TCCCAGCTACTTGGGAGGCTGAGGCAGGAGAATTGCTTGAACCTGGGCGGTGGAGGTTGCAGTGAGCTGAGATCGCGCCATTGCACTCCAGCCTGAGGGACAGCGAGACCCTGACTCAAAAAAAAAAAAAACAACAACAACAAACAACATTTAGTCTAAGCCACACCGGGCAGCACGCCTCAAGGTGCCCTATGAAGCATTAGACTGGAAGTGAAAGAGTCACTGGGCTTGGGCAGCTCACACTCTGGGCACTGGTTTTCTCATAGGAACAACTCTGTGTCTCCTGCATGCCAGGTTCTGGCAGAGGAACTGAAACACCTCCTCACTCTGAAGTACGAGACGTTTTGAACTGACAGCCCAGTGACTGGCTGACTGGCTACTTTGGTATACTGCACCCCCACCAAAAAAAAAAAATAGAGGCAAATGTCTGGTATATGTTTTGAAAAATCTCATGTTTGCATAACTATGTTTGAAAAACTCATGAAGAGATCTTCCTTACCCTAAACTGTCATTTTTCCTAACGCTGACAGAACCCCACCTATAGCAGCATAAAGTGCCTCTACTCTCAGTCTTTTTAACGACTTGAAACACAGTAAGAAACACTGACCTGGTTTGACATTAAGGATTTTTGAGTCTGGAGGACTCAGGAGAGGAAAGTGCTGGGGCTGCTTCACAGTGTCACCACTGGTGTTTGGGAACCCTGCATGTAAACACGGCCGGACTCAACCCTCAACTGCTGGCAGTCAGCCTTCTCTCAGCCATACCTTAGGGCCAAGTGAAACTAAACATTTTAGCTTTTTCAACACTCCAAACCTACGCAGGCATAAATTCGAGAATCTTCTGCCATTTACTTGGTGTTTTTCTATTCAAACTTCTGAGTTTGAAAAAACAACGTTGGTTGTTTTTCCTCCCGATTCTGAAAGGATCACTGGGTAGGTTTAACATACATCTTTCCATATGTCACGAAAGGCTGGGTTAAAGATGTAAGATGCGTGACGTTAATCCTAACGCAGCTAAGTGTATGGACAAGGGCCTCTTGGGCCTTTCTTCAGAAGATGAGGTTCAATGGAAGGAGAAAAACAACCGTGTTAGTGTCATCAGCACTGGCCATGCAGAAGCCACATGTGCCCTGCATGCTACTGAGGTCACTAAAGGGACCGGAGAAAGAACCTGACACGGTTGCTGTGCTCCCATGGGGCTAAGTTGTCTCTATTACCCTCCCTCTTCTCTCCAGCCACCTGCAAAACATCTAGTCAGTCGGCCTTCAGTTTTGAATGTTTACATTTCAGATACCCTTGAAATAGAAATGCATTTGGTAAACCTTAACTTCTTCCAATTGGGAGGCAACACAGGGAAATGACAACTTAAAAATTACTCCGAGAACAGCTGCATTCTCATTTGTCTGACCACTAGTCTGATGGATGTTAAGATTTTTTTAACAGGTCGAAAACAGAAAAATTCAGGGAATTTCAGCAAAAGCCTTTATGAGATATACGCCACGTATTATAATTCTTGAAACCACAATTGAAATCTGTCATTGTTACTGGCCTCCAAGGTTGCTGTCTTTTTCTCACACTTACTCTTCCCAGAGCAGCCACTGTGCTTACAAGTGTGCCTCCAGAAACAGAAGACCCCAGTTTACAGCCACTTTCATCTCACCTTCTAAAGGAATGGCCCGCACTCTCTGAGACTCACATGGAGAGGGAAGGTGGTGAAAAGTGCCGCTGGTAAAGTAAAACAGGACTGGATTTGTCAAAACCACCCCCAGCTACCCTTAATGCCCCAGGGAACACTTACTATTCTCAGCGTATGCTGTATCAAAAACATCTTGCATTTTAGGTTCTGGGAGTAAATCTGAAACCTGTATTCAGTTCACGTCTAACTAAGTTTCAAAAGCTGCACCAAATCTACTAAGCTTTTTTTTTTTAATACTCTTCACTGCATGCTCTGTCTATATGCATGCGTTTGAATAATAAATATTAAATATGGGGGACGCACAGAACCATAAAATTAAAAATGAAACCAAACTGAACATTAAACAATAGTACATGGTAGCTGGAGAAATGAATAAGGGCAAAAAATAAATTTGAGGTAACAATAGTGGCCCAACACCACTGATCTGAAATATCTGTAAAAATTCAACTAAGTGTTTGGAGATTCAAGTAACAAACCATCTGCTCCAACTTGGTCAGACTTCCCAGGGTCCCTGCGGAGTTTCAGTCCATAAGCCGGCACTCACACAGCTCCTTGTAAATCCTCTTCCGCACTCGGGGCATGTCTTCTTGTGAGAACTGGAAAGGCTGCTCTAAGGCGAGGCACTTGCAGTACTGCAAAGGTCCAGAAACACTTCAGTGGCACTTGGAGTTGTGTACCAGCCCGTTCTATTTTACTAAATGCAGACCTAATAGTGTCTAAGGCAGAAGTCCCCGACCTTTTTGGCACCAGGGACTGGCTTCGTGTAAGGCAATTTTTCCACAGACTTGGGGGAGAGGGGGTTGGTTTCAGGATGAATTATCAGGCATTAGTCAGATTCTCATAAGGGGCGAACAACCTAGATCCCTCGCGTCTGCAGTTCACAACGGTTCACGCTCCTATGAGAACCTAATATGGACGGTTGGGGACCCCGATCTAAGGCAGCATTTTCATGTCTGTTTAAACTGTTGTAAAAACACACTGTTTTAAGCATTTACCCAAATTATAGTCAACCGACCAAGCCAGTGTATGGCTTGGGATCTCCTCTCCCTCCTGACCCAGTATTGTGAAAAGCAGCAACTGATGAAAAGGCCTAAATTCCTCCCAAAGTGCAACCTGCTGCGAGTGCAGCTAGACCTATCATGGCCCTTAAGTGGGAACTAGAATTTGTTTATAAAACCCCAAACATGCATGAGGTACACAAATGAACCTGTTTTCCAAGATCTTTGCAAATCTCTAAATTCACGCATCATATTCTGTAATTTCCTTCACAAACATATGTATAACTGAATTTTTTCCATAGTGCTTTTTGACCTCTAAGGAGATGACAGCAGTTTTTCAATGCGGCCCTTATTTAAAATCTAATCACTCTGTGTCAGACCTGCAGATTGCTTGCCAATGGTTTTTTTTTTTTAAATTCTGCAAATGCCAAAGGTTATGATACGGACAAATTCAAGTCAGTCTCCAGTGTGGCTTACTGATAACCTCCAATGAGACATGGATGATACCCACAGTTCACTCTCGATGCCTGGAAGGTGGTTCTTCCTAATGATAACATCTGAGAATGCAGAAACTACTGCTCCTCAGCAACAAAGGGGAGGTAAGTACTCTGTGGCTTGTACGTAGCATCATATACACACACAGGAACGGCCCTCTCTCCCCTCTCAACCCCACAAACTCAATTCACACGGTGTAAACTCTGAAAAGCAGTCTTTCTTTACCTGGAGCACAAAGACTCCACAGTCACTGTCATTTTTCTGTTGTGGAATACACTGAGGGGAAAAACAAGACAGTCATTAAAATAAGATCAATTACTCCTCTTCAGATAAGAAAAACTCCTTTATGGAAAAATGTGCAAAGGATACGAAACTTTTCTCTCTCCAGGACAGCTGGTATATCCTCTGGTATCTCAAGCATCTAATTTTATGGAGGCACCTGGCCACATCAAAAGAGCTATCAGGTGACAACCACAACTTATAGAACAATGTTTTACCTAAATATGAGAAATGGGAAATCGAATGTAAAAACCTATTTTAAAAACATGCATTTGGATACTGGGTTCTGCTATCAATTCACTGACAATGGAGTCGAAATGGAATTGTGGCTGGGAACACAGGCCCGACCCCTGGACGCCAGGATGGTGAGAACGCCACTGAGCACTCTTCGCTTCAGATCTCACATCACACGACCCTGTCCTATTCTTTGAAAGAAATTGTGAAGGTAAACAGTATGGTTTTTGTGATGGGGCCTTTTTTTGAGACAGGGTCTCACTCTGTCGCCCAGGCTGGAGTGCAGTGGCACAGTCTCAGTCTCCTGAGTTCAAGCAATCCTCCCACCTCAGCTTCCCAAGTAGCTGGGACTACGCCTGGTTAATTTTATTATTTGTAGAGATGAGGTCTCACCATGTTGCCCAGGCTGGTCTTGAACTCCTAGACTTAAGCAATCCGCCCACCTTTGCCTCCCAAAAGTGCTGGGAATACAGGCATGAGCCACTGTGCCCGGCCAACAGTATGTTTTTAAAAGAACTGGTTACTGTATTCTGCCCAAAGCGGGGATATGGAAGATCCTAACTAAATTTAGAATACCTAGATTTTTTAGTTGAGTAATTTCAGGAAATTTACTAGTTCTGGTTTCACCTGGTATACTAGGTTATTCAAAATACAAAACTTAAGCTTAATTTTAAAATTTAGCATTTGGTTCGGTTCAAGGATGAACTAATAAATCTTGTCTCTTTGGGTTTGGGTTAAAGGTTTGTTTCAAGATCCTGCCTATAACATTGTGTCAATGATCCAGACAGACCTGCATTCAAGGACCTGACTCTGTATCAATAGTTTTGATGTCCTTTGGGGAAAATCACACCTGGGCTTCAGTTTCCTCATTTACAAAATAAAGATGATGCTTATCCCTAGGTGACCTGCCTACCTCACAGGTTATAAGGATCAAATGAGATCTAATACACAAAAACACTGGAAACACTACAGCCCGCCATCAGTGGAAGACACTGGTATTGACGACAGGAGTGAGCGGCTGTGCCTGGGCACTCTGCCTCACAGTTCGAATGTCATGGGCCAAACGTGGTGCTGCATCCAGACGGTGGTGGGACTGAAGTGCCTGGGCTATCTTCCCCACATGCCTGGCAAGTAGCCCAGTGCACCTTCTCCCCCTCAGTGGATCCAAATAGTCATTTCAGCATTCCTCTGGGTCTATATGGGTCATGTGGAAATAAGAGCCATGATGCAAGAGGCAAGTGCCACCCAAAAAAGTTTTTTTTTTCCCCCCGGAAGAGCAAACACATCATTAGCAACTGCCTCAGGGAGGAAGTGACTGAAGTGATTTGCTCCCGGGAAGCACTGGGCAACTGAGCAGCGATGATGAATACTAGACTGAAGTTTATTCTCAGCTGCCTCCCTGGAGCCTCCAGGCTCTCCTTGGTATCTCTGTCACCAGTCTTCAAATACTCTTAAAGGCACCCACCCTTACATAATTCCATCCCCTGGACATGCCTGGGTTTCATTGTTATCACATACTTACCTTCGTAACAGCAGTCTGCCAACCCTGAAGAAATTCAGGTCTATTTTTTTCTCTGGCTTCAGTCAGCAAATACTTTCTTATATTCTGGTTAAAAAGAAACCACAACACAGATGCTGTGTTCCATCAGTTGGTGAAAAAAGGAACATGCCCATAGCAGACAGAAGGAAAAGAGGAGGCTGTGGCCCCATAACTGGGCAGAGTATGCATTAAGAAGCTGGAACAAATTTTTTTTTTAAGAGAGAGGATCTTGCTCCGTCACCCAGGCTGGAGTGCAATGGCGTGATCAGAGCTCACTGCAGCCTTGAACTCTCAGGCTCCAGAGATCCTCCTGCCTCAGCCTTCCAAGTAGCTGGGACTACAGGTGTACACCACTGCTCCTGGCTAAAGCTGGAATTTTATTTCAGACTCTCCATTTCATATTGTTAAGGGGGAGTCAGACCTCCTGTATTCAAGTTTGCACCCAGACTGTGGATGCTGGCTTTGTCTAATCAGAACATTTTATGGGATGGTTATAGCCAGCCCTTCCCAACAGTAAGTCAGCTGCTGCATTTGAAACTTACATATTGGCAAGTCAAAAAGAAAGTCTTTATCACTGCCAGTGCTCCACAGAGGAAAGGAACCCATGGCAGACATCATTAACAACTAAAACTAAATGAAAAACATTCCAGCCTTAGATATTCTGATACACTCCTTATTTTTGAGGGCTGCAGAAAAGGTTCACATTCAGTTTCTGGAAAGTTATACTAAAATTCATTCTGAATACTGAATATGGTCAAGTCCACTGCTGAAATATCTACCAAGATGAAGCTTGCTGGAGTTTCAAAATGTCCCCAGTACTCTCAACCTCTGTGTGTCTCTCTCCACATCAAGAGTGAAGTCAGAGGTTATGTGAATAACGCCCCCCACCCCCCCCCCAACAAAAGGGGACCATGGCCAGACGCGGCGGTTCACATCTATAATCCCAGCACTTTGGGAGGCTGAGGCGGGTGGACCACATGATGTGAGGTCAGGAGTTCAAGACCAGCCTGGCCAACAAAGCGAAACCCCATTTCTACTAAAAATACAAAAAGTAGCCAGGCATGGTGGTGCACACCTGTAATCCCAGCTACTCCAGAGGCTGCAACACAAGAATCACTTGAACCCAGGAGGCAGAGGTTGCCATGAACCAAGACTGGGCCACTGCACTCCAGCCTGGGGGACAGAGTAAGACTCTGACTCAAAAGAAAAAAAAAAAAAGGTGGACTAGAAGCCACCTCTTCAGAAGAAAACACATGATAAAAGCAAATACTTAATATTTAACCAAGTCTGACCGCATGTTGCTCTTCTCCCTCTAAACAAGTAACTTTAGGTTCTCAGAATAAGCAGTACATGTAAATTTTTTTTTTTTTTTTTTTTTTGAGATGGAGTCTTGCTGTGTCACCCAGGCTAGAGTGCAGTGGTGCGATCTCAGCTCCCTGCAACCTCCATCTCCCAGGTTCAAGCGGTTCTCCTGCCTCAGCCTCCCGAGTAGCTGGGACTACAGGCGCATGCCACCACGCCCGGCTAATTTTTGTGTTTTTAATAGAGACAGGGGTTCACCATGTTGGCCAGGATCGTCTCTATCTCTTGACCTTGTGATCCACCCGCCTTGGCCTCCCAAAGTGCTGGGATTACAGGCGTGAGCCACCCTGCCCAGCCAGTATATGTAAATTCTTAAGTAAAATACAGGCAAAAAAGATTTATCCTTAAAAATGGTCACCTACACTCAAAATGTACTGAGCATCTATAATGGTTCAAGTGCTGGGGACACTAGTGAATAAAGCTCTTGCAGTCTCTGCTGCCATGGAATCTACACATTTATGTAGTGACTGTTTCAAACACTTTTCGTCAGTTCTTTGGAGATATCGGCCCCTAACTGAGTTAAGCACCACTTCTACAACCCCTACATCCTCTTAAAACAAAAAACAGCTTGACCCCACCTGCCCAGATGACTTGGCTCCAAATTACTTCTAGTTATTACCTAAAAGGAATCTGTTCTTAGTGTCTTTTTGCAAATATGCAAAATTGTTAGGCCAATTGTAATTGTGCGGAAAAGGTAAGAACTCTGCAGGAGGGCTTGGGCACAAATTCAGAAGATGAATTTTTATTACTGTGCAGAACCAGACGCTAATGATTCAGAATCAACTTGAACCCAACTACATGTTTTACAAACAAAATCCTGTTTAACCATCATTCACTCCATGAAGGTGAACGTCTGTCTGGTCCTACCTGACTCCTCGCATCAGTGCCTGGCACAGAGCAAGAGGCACAGTAACTAGTTCCTACATGAAACAATTTTCCCAACACCTCTGCTCTCCTCTGCCTGTCAGAATCTGATTCTTAAAGGCACTCATATGGCTGCACTTTTGGTTGTATCTTTGCAGGTCTGTCTAGGAAAGAGACAATATAGACGAGCTCTGGCCGGTATGGGAATATGTTGGTTGAGAGAAAGGCAAGGAATTAGGGGAAGGGAACGGGAAAAGACGCTCACACCTGGTATTGTGAGAACTCTGGGCCCAGGAGGCTTCTCCCTTTTGGGGTATTTTTTTCCTGGATTTCTTGGAAATGAAAATGTGATTTTGAAAACTTGATTTTCCTCATAGGTTGCATTAAACTTAATTTTAAAATTAAATGTTAATTGAATAATACAAGAAAATATTCTCCTTGTAAAAAAAACAAAAAATCCCAAAATAAGGCCAAAATATTCTCCTTATAATTAAAAATATTCTAAATAAGGCCAAATCACCTTTAACTATTAGTCTTGCTTTTCCACACTTACCCAAAGGTAATAATCATTGATATCAAAAATGGTAAGATCCTATCTTTTTACTTACAAATATATATATATATATATGTGCCTACACATACACCTGCATGTATTTGTATATATACACATACACATGTACTTTGTTCTATAAATGTACTATACCGTATCATTCCACAATTGGTTTTTTAAAGCTCTACGCCTTGGACATCTTTCCATTTGAGGACTTGAAGGTCTAGTATATTCTATTTAACTGCTATGGTCAGTTTAATAGTATGGGTATACTGTACCATAGTGTATTTAGCTATATTCTCTTGCTAGAGCTAAATTTGTGTTGTTTTATTTAGCACTATTATAAATAATGCTGCCATGAACATCCTAGCACATGCCCCATCCTTATCTGCAGATACAAGCATTTTTATGGAGTAGATACCAAGAAATGGAACTGATATGCCACAGAATGTGCATCTTTTTAATTTACACTTGGAACTGATGAGAACTGCAGCTGTCCCCAAGCGGCTGTATCAATTTATACACTCCACCAGAAAATACGCAAATGCCTATTTCCTTACATAGACACTTGAATAGCATCACTTTTTCTAACACAATGGGTAAAAAATATAACTGGTGTAGTTTTCATTTGCATTTCCTTTATTTCTGGTGAGGCTGAACACCTCTCCATGTGTTTTTAAATAGTTATTTGCATTTTTCCTAAAATTTACTAAATTACCCTTTGTCCATTTCTATTAGGTCCTTTTATCCTCCCCTTATTCATTTGCAGGAGTTTCCCATGTATTCTGGATAATTATTTTCTGTTATTTACATCATACATATTTTCTGCAAGTCTGTTGCTTGTCTTTTAACTTTAAGATACACAGAAGTTTTAAATTATGAGGTGGTTAAATTTATCCAATTGTTCCTCATGTCTTTTCTTTGGTTCCATGTAAGAAGTCCTTCCCCACTCTGTGAACATAATATTCTCCATATTTCATTCAAATACTTTTACGGTTTTGTACAGATTTCTTTTAAGTACCTAAAGCTTTAGGAGTTTTCATCATAAAGAATTTCCACATTTCTTCCTAGGGCATATTCCTGGGTTATTTATGTTTTGTTTCTTTTATAAATGGAATCTTATTCCCAGTTACATTTTCTTACTGGTTCGTGATAGTGCAGGAAAATCCGGAAACCTACTCATTTTTCTTGATTTTGTATCCCACCATCTTGTTGAACTGTTTATTAGCTAAACACTAATACTTTGTTAATTGATTCCGTTGGGTTATAGTTTATTCTACAGGAGTTATTTTGCAGATACAAGCCAATTTTAGCTTTAAGATGATCAAAGAAAAACAATTTCTAACCACATTCAAGATGTAGTTTTAAGGGAAAAACAGAGAAAATCCAAGTGGAGTACCTCAGAGGGGGATCTGGATCCTAGACAGATCCTCTCCTCAGCCAGAGATTCCTCTTCTAGTCCTTTTCTCAGCTAACATTTTAGAGGATTTTCATGACATAAACTGTTCCTATATGGTTTTGACTGCTGCTGTTCTATCTAGAGCTAAGATGCTATTTGGCCAATTATAAAATAAATGAAAAAATAGGCAGTATATTAACTTACCTCTACACAAAACTTAAAATGAATGCCTTGGGAATCATAAAATGAAATAATTCGATTAGAGAGTGTCACAGTAATGAGAGACCAGTGGACTTCCAGGTGAATAGGAATCAACAGAAGGCTCTTTTTAAACAAATCCACCTGATCAAGAAAAGAGAAAGAAATGCAGCCATCACCACAGGCTATCCAAACCACCAAAAAACAGCAGCTTCCATTTGCTGACCTGTGACCTACACAAGGGCAAAAAAGTAGTAAGCAATGAACCAGAATTTGAACCCAGGTCTTACTCTAAGCCCATGCTTGTAACTATTAAGCTGTAACACACAACAATAATACAAAAATAAAGCTATACAAAGTACAGTTTTCCAGTTCATCTACTAAACCTGTGTGTCAACTGCCTGATATGACTTGGCTCCTTGTTTTTATGCTTACCTCATTTTCTCATGTACATATTTAACCTGGATTCAACTCTTGTTTAGAAAGGAATCATAGTATTAGAAAACAGTATAAGGGGCCAGGCACGGTGGCTCACACCTGTAATCCCAGTACATTGGGAGGCTGAGGCGAAGGACTGCTTGAGCCCAGGAGTTTGAGACCAGCCTGGGCAACATAATGAGACTCTGTCTCTACAAAAAGTAAAAAATCAGGCCGGGCTCAGTGGCTCACGCCTGTAAGCCCAGCACTTTGAGA